ATAATAAATAAAGCAGACTGCGGGGGGCGGTGCGGCAGTAGCAGCAGGAAATATGGCACTTAAAGTGCTTTAAATAACATTAGAAAGTTGACTCGCTTTGGCTATGGTATGTACGAGTCTTTGCGGGGGGGAGCGGGGGGATGTTTTTGATACCCCCATCCGCCTGGAGAACTTGTCTGGTCGGAGCTCACGCCCACCGCCCACCGCCCATCGCCCACCTCCCCATCATTGTCGACTTTGTCAGTCTGTTTGACTTGTGCGAAAATCTTTCAAGTTGTGACAATCTCTGGCAAAAGGCAGCGGCAAAGGCGCCCTGCATTTGTTAAAGTTGTTCATTTGCAAGGCAGCTGACAGACAGAAACGGAGACGGCAACTAAGGAGGATCCTGACGTCCTGGCACTCCTCACTGTTTGTCTTGTTTCTACAACGCATATGACACTCGCCACGCCCACCGACACACACACACACACACACACACAAACACACACACACAACACTCCGTCGCACGCCCATAAATAAAACATTTCACTTTGTTTTGTCGACTGCCTCTTAGCCTAAACAAACAGAGCCCCGAGAACCCCGTGAATTCCAAGAACATCATCCCAGATCCGAGTTTCGAGCTCGGTCTCAAGCTCTTCTCTCTGCCGATGTGACACACTTTGATTTGACTTTAATGCACAATAACATTTTATACTGCGCTGCCTTTGGCTGTTTTCTGTGTTCTGTTGTTTGTAGTCTGTTGAAAAATGCACAAAAGCCGAGGCAAATTGATGATGGAATGCCGGGGAATGCAGTTCCCGAGTGCCACGGTGAAGTCTCACAAACGCTGCTACTTATATGACTTTTCATGTTTACCCCCCTAACCCTCCCCCTCCCCCGCCACTGGCGCTGCCATTAATCATTATTATTCAAATCTCGGCACACATATGCCAAAGGATATGCATTTAAAAGCCAATTAGTAGAAAATTGCACAGCTTTGTGGTTTTCGCCTTTGAGTTATCTAAAGCCGCAACAATGCTATTAAATTGCCAAAATGCTAAGGTAAACTTATGCGGAAAATTCGTTTGTACATATTTTGGTTACCCCCAAATGCACTTTAAATCAACGCAAGTAGAAATTTAAAGAGTCATTAAATAGATCATGAGTTTAATGACCATTTCCTGAATTAAGAAAGGTTTACTATCTATTCGTCATGATAAACTAGATTATCTAGATTATTCTCAATGGAAGTGTAGACAAATTTGATGGTTTTAAAAATATCATGTTTTACCAAAACAAAAATTATTATTTTGAACAAATATTAGATTGGCAGAATAAAAACGTTTTGATGCTCTTGTCTTTTATTTTACTCTTGAATTTCTATTCAAGGTTACCTTTGAAATTTAAAGCGACATACCCGTTCTTTTAAAATATATTTTTACAGGACTTAAAAGTTATTGTTTTATTCAAATCTAAACTAAAATTTCGGTTTGCTTGAAATTCTTTTCTAGCTTAGCTTTTACCCGAAACGACTTTAATTCAACTCTAGTACATTAAACACACAGAGCAAGAGTTTAACATCCATTTCCCGATTTAAGAAAGGTTTATTTGCTCTGGCAGAATTGTCGTTCTATTCGTCGCATAATGAACTACATAATTAGTTGAATGCAAACTTTTTTCCGCCTACTGACAACTTTGTGGGACCTACGACTAATGCAAATTTCAGGCGGCGCTCCGTTTCGTTTCGTCTCAATTTTTTCTGTGGACTCTGGCCCAAAAACTTTGCCTAATTGGCAGGAGGTGGGGACGGGGGGTTGGAATAGGACGACAAAAAGGAAACTTGCCATAATCTGCAAGCCGCCAACATGTTTAACTCCTGCACAATGTCAGCGGCGCTGTCGTCAAGTTGGCTTGGCTACATTTCGCCAAGAAGCCCCACTCGACAAGTCGCAACTCCGGCCAAAGTTTTTGGCTGCCGAGTGCTCTCCAGGAATTTTTGAAATGCGCCTGCAAAATTGTTGACAGTTCGAGGTCGTTAACGCCGGCAGTTAAATATTGAAAGCGCGCTCGCACCCCAAGTTATTCAATAAATGTCAGGGCGGGAAGCCAAGTCTGCAGCTTGTCAGGTGGGTTTAGTGCTGCCCAGGGATTGCCCAAATTACGCCAGTTGGCACGCACCAAGTCTGGCGTCTATATTTCGACTGCAATGCTCACGATTCCCGGCCACATGTGTTTCGTTTTCTAGCCTCCATTTCTCCTTCGTTTTTCCTCCGCGAAAGCGAAATTCGCCACGCATGTGACCTTCGTCGGTGTGGCACGCCAAATTAATACCAGCCCATGCTAAATTTAAACTTAATTAAACTTTCGAGGCGCTCTGCATGTGTGCAAAGCGCAGTGCAAGAGCCCAGCCAGAATTCAATTTTAATTATGAACTTAAATCGAAAAACTTTGCATTTACACGAGCCTTCTGTCTGTGGGTGAACCTGCCCGCGGACGAATTCCTTCTCTCCGGACGCAGTCTGCCGACTGCTTTGACTGCGAGGACCCATTCAAACAGACATTCGCGGCATTCAGGACATTCATATAGTCGCTGGCTGCTGCACCGCCCTGCACTGAAAGAAAAACAAGTCATTTTCGGATCTAAAGCTATCACGAGGCACCTAAAATGTTTATTTCTCAGTTTTGAAGGAAAAAGGAGTTCATTTGGCCGAAGAAAAAGCATTCAATAATAATAAAAGAGTGAAAGGAAATACCAAATGGTATATGACAATCAGACAAAACATACAAAGGCTTAGAATTTAAAATTCCATTTTGATTTATCTCTACATTTCCTTTTTTTTTAAATAAGCAATGCCCATTTTTTCTGATCCATTTTTTTTTAAATAATAAATTTATATTTATAATATTGGTTTTTGTGAAAACACTTCTGTTTATGAAGCATTAACTAAGAAACATGCAAATAGCTAAAATAAATAGTAACTACTATAAATTACTAAAAGCTACTATTAAACATACAAATGCTTGCATAAATATTAAGTTATTAAATTAAAATTAAAATTTGTAAGTTTGTTTTAAGTTGTCTGGCAGTTTTTAAAGGAACTCGTTCTATCGTTTGTTAATGAGTGTGATAAGTACACAGTTATAATATGAATATAAATCGTTTTTAATGCTTTTTGAATGGAAATCCATAGCGAAATATTTTGTTACAGTGTGCTGCTCTTCTGCTTTTATTTATGCAAATTTTCGGGTTGTTGCACTTGCGGCGACTCTCCAGCACATTGGTATGTAGCTGGCCGGGAGCTAATTAAATGTGGCCCAAAAGCGCGAGCTGCAGCCATTGAAAAGCGAGCCAAAGAGCCCGCACAAAATATGAGCCGGCTGCATGGGCGTTTTTAAAGCTAATTTAAAGGCGCCCCTGTTTTGGTTACAAAGGCGGAGCAGAAGGATCTGGCGATGGCAGAGCGGCATGTGCCACACATCACGTGCCGGCGAAGACATTGCAGTCGACGTTCATGCATACAAATGCAGGAGTTTTCCGTGACCGTGGAAGCCTTTTTATGACGTCAGTGTGCGACTTTTGCCTCGCTCCCCCGAGAAAAGCCAGAAAACTATGCCACGACTTTTAGTGTAGTCTAATGCGACGACGAAACTGCTACAATGTCGTCGCGTTCGGCGCCCTTTCTCCTATTTCTATTCCCGTTCCCGTGCCATTTCCTCTTTCTTGTCGTTTTGTTTTTAAAACAAATTTCCAAAATCAATATTTGCCGAAAGTGTTTTGCATACCAAATAATTTGGCCAAACAACTTGCAAGGCAGCCATAGCAAGATGCGGGGGGCGAGTGGAAAAAAAGCGGAGAATTTGTAGTGGCAACAGCAGCTAAACAAATTGTCAACAAATGATTTTATTTCCCTCTCTTTTTTTTGGGTCTCCAGTGGGAAGTCCACATACGGTGGAGCCCGACCTGACCGCAGGGCATTGGCAAACACTGAAAAATTGAATCGAACTTTAAGACCAATAGGAATCGCAAAATGGGGGCCAAAGCCCGTTTAAATGCTCTGCAAGAATGTGGTATTATCGTAGTTAAATTGGCTGGGGGAAATCTCATATTCAGAGCTGCCTTCTCCAAGAAGCAGTACAAGTATACGAACAGCCTAAGCAAATAAGCGTTTCTGCCTAATGTGTGCCTAAGTTTTAGTCAAAGTTTTCTGCTGTTTGTACTTTGCATAAGTAAACAGCAAACGATCCTTGGACCGAGCCATATTTCAAGCGGTCACAGGAGTCGGGCGGGCTGCATTGATATATTACGTGTCGGTAAACCAAGCGATTGTCATACCCTGTTCTCGGAAATTCCAAAGGTGTATTGTCTTAGTTAGCTTTACAAATGATGACAACTTTATAGGTACATTAATTTTTATTTTTTTAATGAATTAATATTCATATGTCCAATTTCAATTCTACAGCAAATATAAGCAGTTTTTTTTATAAATACAAATATGTTTTCTAGGTAAGATGAACAAATGTCTAGCCATGTCCGTCTGTCCGTCCGTCTGTCCGTCCGTTTCTACGCAAACTAGTCCCTCAGTTTTAAAGCTATCTGCTTGAAACTTTCCCAAATGTTGTCTTTCTATTGCAGGTAGTATATAAGTCGGAACGAGCCGGATCGGGCGACTATATCATATAGCTGCCATATAACTGAACGATCGGAAAAGCCATAACGTTGGTGTTTTTAAAGTTAGGAAGTTGGGACTTTTTATGAGTATTAAGAATGCATCATATGAATAATTTTGAAGAATATAATTTACAGAATATTCTGCAAGGGTATATCAACTTCGGCTCCGTCCGAAGTTAGCTTTCCTTTCTTGTTTCGTATATATTTTTCTTTTTATAAATTCTTAGAAAACAAAACGTAAGCTCATTTTCGCCTATATACAAATACGTAATAAATAAAAACATTTAAAAAATTATTCTTTACCTACAACAGTTGGAATAATTATTTCTACAATTTATTGGGGAGCCCCTTTTTATATGTCTATGGAGCTCATTTTCCGCATTCTCCGCTGCTCGTACTCGTAGGTAAGTCGCTGCCAAATGCCCAGGCACATCCGCACCAGGCGCATGTCCTTCTCAGCGTTGCTCCTCGCGAAAGAGTACTGCTCCCGGATCAAGTGCTTCGCCGCTCGGAGTTTTCCCCGCTGAATCAGGGAAATGCTGAAGTACAGCTTGCAACGCGTTTGTAGGAAGGGATCTCCTAGGCACAGTCCAATCTTCAGCTGCTGCAGTGAGATCTGTCCGGCTGTCTCCGCGCATCGTCCGAATTGCTCTCCCAAGGCCGAGAAACCACCGCCCAGCGTGGAAAGCCAGGACATGAGCTGCTCCACTTCGATGTGCTCCCACAGAGTGCGTGCCAGGATGTCCGCGAATCGATAGTCCACGGTGTCCTTTTCCGGGGGATCGAAGGACAGCCAAACTAACTGGACGCCGTGGTTGCTCTTGAGGCTTCTGGACAGCTCCTTTTGCTGGAGGAACTCGCGCAGGTAGTAATTCCCATTGATGGCGTCCACCTGGATGCACATCCTCCTCAAGGTCTTCGATTCCCGACAAGAGCCGCCGGTCTCCCGGATTGAAAGATTGTGGAAGTGACACCGCTGCCAGTAGTCGCAAACGCAAATAACCAAGGGGTCAGACATTTCAATTGAAAACCCTTGAACCAGCTAAAAAGGTTAAGAATGATTAGAATTATCATGTATATTCCACAGGTTCCTTGGTTCTGTTTTGATTATTATTTTGGGAAGACAATTTTAACAAGTACGACATTTTTTTGGACTTATACTAGTTCATTAAGTTTAATATTTTTTGATGTTCCTATATCAACATATATACTTTTTTTTAAATAATTGCTAGGGTTATTATTGAGTGTTGCAGTTTATATAGCAGTGAATGAAAACAACTCCTGAGAGTATGCAATAAACTTTCTCAAGAGGCAGCAGACTCTTACCAATTGACTAATGGGTGACTTCAAGTCGTGATTGGCGGCTATATAGTTGTTGGTTGTTATGCCCGGTGCCCGCCGTTTCCATCCTCGTTAGCCAGCCATAGTTGGCAGCACTTCCGTCAGGCAGTGCAAGTTTGACACGCGCATCAACACGCGCTTTGTCAACCACTCCTTTCTCCTCCTGTATCCTGCAACAGGAAGACCGCTCAGACGCACACCCATAAACAAGCGCACACACACACACACACACACACACTCACCCGCTCGCATGGAGATGTCCTGGCTACAATGTGTGTGTAGGAAATTGGTTTCGCTTGGCTGCACTTTGCTGAAAAACCAATACCCAACGAGAGTCGGCCAGGAAGTCTTCAGTGACCGCGTCGCACTCGATAATCAGCAATGACGGCCAGCCGACGGCGGACATAAGGACATCCAGCAGGACATCCAGGACATCAGGACTTGCGGACAGTGGACTTGGCAGCGTGGAATGGCCTCGGCCTCTGCGCTTTGAACCTACAATTAATTTACTTTGTTTTTCCAGCTGACCAGACATTAACATTACATACTTGACTTCCGTGCGTGCCAGGCGCACATATACTTCGATTGCTGACCTGCCATATGCCGGCATTTAGCCATTTACTTACTTTAAGCATCATAAATTATTTTAAGCTGCTAAGCTTTTGCTTTCACTGATATTTCGCGAGTGCCGTGGTATATGTATGTATGTGTATGGGAGTGTGCTTGTGTGTTTTTGCCGAGCACATTCTGGCAAAACGTTGGGCAATTATGGCGCACCTGGTTGCTATTAGGGCGTTCGCCACGCCCCCGCCACCATCTTACCTCTAATGACAGCCATTTGTGCAGTTTTTGTCAGTTGCGCTTATTTATTACACTTGTGTTGCTGCTCGTAATTTGTTTATTTGTTGCTTTAAAAACTTTTGCCACGCGACATGCAAGCCACCTTTTATTTTTCTTTACCTATGTACACACCGACAAAAAAAGTTCTTCAATGATGATGGATTGAAGAAAAGGCTATTAAATTATGCAAAATAAAGAATATTAGAACATTTGAATGAATACAAGGAAATACTTTTTAGATGTTCGAAGGAACATTTCAATATGTTTGTCAAGTGATATTTTTAAAAGGAGTAAGTAGTATAAACTAAGCACGCAAAAAACACAGTTTATTTTTGATTAGCTTGTATAAATATAAAATCTATTGTTCAGTGAACAAATAACATTTGCTATTGACCAATTTGAATTCTAGAATTCTGAAATAATTAAATTAAATCGAACTGAAGCGCTCACAGATTAAAACGTTGGGAATATAAAATGGATTATTTCAAAGGTCTGTAAATTGATCATTTGGTCATTTGGTGGCAATAAGGCAAATTCACTTAACTGCATCGTTTACTGACTACCCACAAAGAGAAACAAGTAAACACCGTATTTAAAAAGCGTTAATAAAATGCAACCAATCTCCACTGGAATTGGGTATTTTTTTCGTGTGCATTGCGAGTTTCGCTGGCTTCAGATATTTTGCTTTTGTTTAAAGCTGGAAGAGCAGGGAAAGCAGTGAATCGCATTTGCATACATTGGGTTTAAATATTCATTTGCTGCAAGTTGCCGCACCGCACAATCAGCCAGGACAATAAACTCCCGCCCCCGCCGTTTTGACCCATCGAACCGGACAGCAAACAAAGAGAAAACCGGATGGTTCATTGCGGGTCAGGCCACTCAATTTTCAGTTTGGTTTAACTTCAAACGGGACGCAATGACAGCGAAATTGAATTTGCAGCATGTCGAGTTGATCCGCGTGACGTTCGATCGCTAATTGAAGGGATTAGCGGTGCGGCGATGACCTGTGACTGCAAATCGTCCAATTCCAAGATGTTCAGCGAACGCAGCGGAAATGGGGCTTACTATCGCGAAACAATAAACAAATTAGGCGAATGCGCTGCATTAATTGAAATGCTTTGTCGTGGATGGAATAATATTAAAGTTCCTTAAAGCTTAATGAGCACAAATATTTGCTTGGCCCTGCGCTGGCGGGGAAGTCTCTGTGGGAAAGCAAATCCTTTCGAGTTCCCGTTGCCGATCAAGGCGGCAAATGAGCTGCTCGACAGACAAAAGCCTTGATTGATTGCCGGAGAGGACTTAAAGTTTGCTGCTGCTTATTTAATTAGTCGAAATTTTAATGGCTTTGCCGGGGGTTTTGGATGTTGAAACATTTGGCTTAAAGCGCTATGGCCAAATTGTTTTAAAACTGGTTGAAACAAGCCCCTGGCTTTATGATGTTTGTGGGTGTGGGAATTGAGTTTGTTGTTCTTGTTGCTGTTTGCTAATTTCTCGGCATAATTACGGCAATTGCCGTAAAATGCTGGGTACATATAAATTGGAAATTAGTTAATTTGCAGTTGCATTGCCATGATTTTGGCCACTGGCCGGGGCCATGCCACAAATCAATATGCAGTGCATAGTGCATAGTGCATAAATATATTTATTGACATGCCAGCAATGGCAGCAATATTTTAATTAAAAACGTTTGCTAATTTCATAATTTAAGCATATTAGCTGTGCGCTTTTTTTTCGTCTCTTACTTAACTAACGTCCATGCGCTCAGCTTAATTCACATTATTTATTGGCAAACCTTTTAATTGATTTCGATGTTTATATTTGACATTTTTTACGCCCATACACGACTGTGCAATTATGTTTTTCATGTTAATTTACCAATTTGTCAGACAAAATAAAATATTATTATAATTCAAATGTACAAAAGCGTTCAGCTCGATATTCACAAGCAATTTGCTTAGCTACTTATGCATATACAATTAATATATATATTTGTTATTTCTGAATGCGCTCCCCAATTAATTATGAATGCTAAGCTGCAGCCTCATTTAAATGGGGTAGCCGAAAAAGCCCTTAATTACAAACACTTCAAATGCCGAATAATTTCACAAAATAATTTCAATTATGAACAGATTTTGGAGCGCCTGGCTGCCTTTCCGCAGTCGGTTGCTAAATGCAGTCACAAATGGCATTCTGGTTGCGCTTGAACTCGAGTATGATTCAATTAAGCCTTGGTCAGAACGATGCCTCTGTGTGAGTGGGCCATCGGCACATGCATTTGGTAACGAGCGAGTTTGTGTGAGTGGCGGTATTATTTTAGCGCACTTAAATGCACAGTTTAAAGCCCATCTCGCATGCGAAATGGGAGAAAACTATTTCTGGCCAGAGTTTTCAAGTTGATTACCTTAAGTATTTCTATTGTTCGGCCTTAAATTAAAGTAGACTGCATCAAAGACTAAGTAACTTAATACCTAACAAATTGAAATTTTATTTTGCAATGTGAATAAGCGCCACTTGTAGAGATTACAAAGCAATTTAAATTATAAATCTGTGACAATCCATAATCCTATTGCTTACATTATCTAGACAAAAATGTGATTTAAAGGTACAAAGTACATGATTGTTGGTCAGATCGTAAAGAAAAAGGTTGGGTCACATCTGACCAGAGGGTAAAGTGTGTTTAATAGTTTGGTAAAATGACCAACATATAAAACAACAGCTAATTTGCAGATAAATACAGAATTATAATTTTAAATTGTAAAAGAGCTGGGAAAACTTTTACACCAATTATACTGTACCGTTTCTTTGTTGTAAATAATTCTTTTGACTAAATTTTAATTTAGTGTAGTTACTATTAAACATTAAAGTTAAATAAATAATAGTGGTTTGCTTTTATACAAATCGCAGCAGTGGATTTATTATTGCCAACCAGAACTGGGAACTCTCTATCCGATTCCAAGGGTAATCTTTAACCTTTGACCCCACAAGCAATCATCAATTCCACCGCCCAGTCGAGCGCGCGTTGTTGGCATTGCAAGTTCGTCGGACACCTTAATGGCCAAATAGCCGTGACAATCTCCTTTCACATTCCGGCCATGGCCCACACATTTTGCCACTCTGTGGCCTTCTAATTGATGTAACAAGTGTTTGGGCCATGTATCTGCCAGAATTTATAAGTGGCAAAAGAGTCAGAGAAGACACAGTCGACACACACAGTCCAAGACGCTTGTCGATAGTAGTTGGCCTAAGGTCATCAGCCACCCACATGCGACAGGGGACGAAGGACATGGGACGGGGGTTGGGGAACTCAGGACACAGGACACAAGACGAGGGAGTCAACCACAGTTGGGTCTGCGACCTCCCCCAGAGGATTCACACTCAATAGAGGACGACACGTAGCTTGGCCAAGTGCTGATGGCCCAGACAACTGCCACTGAACCGGAGGAATCGCCTGCGATTCCGCTTCTGCTCCAGCGGCAAAAGCTTCGGCTTCGGCTGTTGCTTGTAATAAATTTGCTTGAAACATGCAATGATGCCCCCGGGGGAGGAGTGCGAAGGATTCCGCAGGATGCTCTGTCTGTGTGTCTGGCTTTTGTTCTATATCCATCGCTGATGATGTCGGTTTGCCGTGCAAAGCCACAAATTGCCACTTGGCTGCCCGCTCGTGCCAATCTGCTGCAATGCCTCCTCTTATTGTCCTTATTGCTCCTCCGGCTGTTGTTGTTGGCCTTTGAATAAATCTAAAGAAATAGCATTTAATGTCTATTTGCTGGAGATTAAGATAAAAAGCATTCCCTGGTAATGTCAGCCGGGAGAAACGGACTGACTACCACTGGCCAGGACTTGGACCTGCAGCTCTGGGCATTCGTGCGGCTTATCGATCTGGATTTGGTGCATTGTCTTGCTATCCGACCAATCCCTTTTCAAATGGCACGCTCGTAACTGCCACAAACAAGTGACACAATCAACACTTTATAGAACAAACACTTCTAAATTAATTAAATTGCAAATATCCTTGAAGCAGCTGCACTGCTCACTCACACACGGTCAGTTGGCTGCATACAAAAGTCCTGGCACTGTAAGAAAATCAGGGTTTAAATTATAGATCCAGAATTATATATGAATAATTTCTTTTTAAGAAATCATAACTATTTCGAGAATATTATATTTCGAAAAAGTAGCTAAGATAGCAGTGGAATACCAAATGGAGAGTTCTTTTAGAAAATTAATAGTTTTGTAAACTGAAATCGGAGTTATAAAATCTTTTCATAGGAAATACTGTTCTTAATATAATATTATCTTTTCAAGAACTGCTTTTCTTTCTGTGTGCCTTGCACATCCCATATAGTTGTCAACGTACTCTCGTCAATACTCGTCGTAGGACCACTCTGCCCGGAGATAATCCAGGCCATCAATAATGCAAACAGTTCTTCCTGGCTCTTGCCCCTCATCCTTCTCACCCCCGCCCCTCCTTACGGCCCCCCAGTTTTGAAGGAGCTGTAGCCTTGTTTGCTTTTCCTTGCGTCGCCTGCAGTTCTTTTGTGCTTTTGCTTCGGCTTGGAATAGTTTTGCTTTTGTTTTTTACCCCAACTCAGGTTCTTTGGCTGGCGGCCGTTGCCCAACAATTTGGCCAAAGATTTCTCAAGTTGAGTCGAGTTTGGGTTAAACTTGAAAATTAAATGAAATATTTTGCAGGATATTCGGATCACCTCGGTTTGTGTGTGGGTCAGCAGCAGCAGCGCTTATGCAAATGCAATCAGAAGAATGCCCGAATTTCGAAAGGTTAGTGAGTTCGCCTTATGCGATTGTCTCTCGGGCTATCAATCAAAGTTTTTTGGGGGGGCGGTGACGCAAATAACATTATATAGCTTTGGTTTTTCCCACCCATTTCTCATTGTGGCCACGCCCACAAAATGGCAAAAGCCGCAGCATTGATGCGGGCGCGGTGGTTTTGGTTACAATTGCAAAACACGAATATAAATTATGGGCGCGTGTAAATTTTTCAATTGCTTAATGAGCGGAAGTGGCCATCATCGTTATATGTTTCAAGTTGTACATGTCGCTTAAATGAATACCGCATGGAATAAGGGGGATTGGTCCTCTGAGGGCATTGGTGGGCGGTAGAGGCGGAAGGGGCGTGGCCTCGTCAGGTGTTCCGCCTGCATTGCATAATTAATTACAATTAGGCGAATCGGGGTTTGATTGCAGGCAGGAGGTTCCTGTTAATTTGCAAAAGTGTTGCCCGTTGAAACGTTCGGAGAGAACATTTAATTTATGGGCCAGCTGTTAAATGTTTTACCTTGTGTGACAAATAGCCTGCAAAGTTGCATATATGCACTTTGAGATTTTTCGGGCACAGGTAATTAAAGTTTTGCGAGTGACGCCAGAATGTATGCTACACTTTATGACTATGTGTGGGAAATTAAAACTGTTTCGACGTTTATGAAAGGACTTTTATGAATTCTTGAATTTGCCAAATTAAAATGGGCACTCGCTGCAGACGAATTTGCAAAATGAAATTTTGAAAAATAAATATTTTTATAGGCCATCAATTGAATCTCAATTTAGTTTCAACTAAATTAAATGGGTTGGCCTTGTTTTTTCTTTTTGGTTTTAGTTTTTGGGCAAAAGTAATTAAAGATTTTTGTATCGCAGAAATGTATCTGCAAAGTTAGTAGTTAATTAAATAAACTTCATTTTAAAGGGGAAAGTTTAAAAAAAAAAGAAGGAGTAAGTAAGGGTTGAAGTACTTGTTTATGTTAGGTTGTTCATACTTATTTTATAAGGAGAAAAAAGCCTTAAATGTAGTTATTTTTTTGGGTTGTATATTTATGTATAGAAAACCGGCTGCTAATAAAACAATAACCTATTTATTTTAGGTGCTTTCTCTGGTTGCGCAAATAGATTCAAAAATTTCTTATTTGTTTAGGCCAACGCTGAGAATTGAGTCACACTTCTATCCCGCACCGAACTCAATTTCATGGCGTTTAGAGCAGATTGCGAGTGGCGGCGGTCCGTCGCCGTCCGCAGAGTGACGTAAATTAAATTAGTGTCAAAAGAGCATTGTGAGTGAGTAAGTGAGTGAGTGTCTGTGCGTGCCTGACACGACCGACAAACATAATGACCAACCAACACCAACAGAACATGAGAACAGAACGGCTAAAAACACAAAAAAAAAAAAAAAAACGGCGAGGCGGGGCAAAAATTGTATGCAAATTATGCTTGACATTGTTTCAGCATACTTTTTGGCGTGTGCGCCAAGACAAAAGCTGACATTTAGCCCAAGGAGCATAAAAAGTGATACAAAACGCAGGAATGAGACAGAGAAAGCTAGACAGATAGAGGGAGAAAGGGCAGGCGAAAACTTTGTGACATTTTTTGGCGCGCACAACGGAAACGTGCAAAACTGGCAAATTTATAATGAGCCGCGGGTTCAGCACTGCGTCCGCTTCTGCATCTGCAGCCCACTGTTTGCCCCCAATCCCAATCCCAAGCCCGATTCCCATCCTCATCCTCATCCCCATCCTCACCCAACTCTATCCATTCCTCCTGCCAGCGGCGCTTTCTTTCGCTCTGCTAAGCACTAAGCGCATTTGTCGCAAGGTTTTGACTTTAAAAGCGAGGAGCCGCAGTTCAAAAGGTTCCAGTTCGGCCATGGTTTCAGGTTAATACCTGAAAATGCTTTTAAGAATTTTCATACCTTGATTTATTGGTTCACACGCATATCCACGCGGGCATTGAGCAGAGTTTACTGCCAAGGCATTTGCATTTCAAATATGCCATGAATTGATGTATGGGATTGCTGAGGATTCCGCTAGCTGCGAGTGCTGCACATAAAAAAATATATTATTTTCAGCTGGATAACAGAAATGGCTTTATCTATTATTCAATATTGATTTAGATTTGGAAAATATAAGAAATGATTGACATATCTTCATGATTTTTAAACATAATCAGAACTAATTGATGTTTGCCAGTCCACATCATATATTTAAATGGTTATTTTACCATCATTTATTAATTAATAGACCTTAAAAAATCCCATCAATACCATCAATAGTGTTTCCCGCGTTTTTTAAGAGCTCATAATTGTTAAAATGGCACAAGTATCACTTTTAAGTAATTAATAGTCCATCAATATTTGAGGACTTTTTTCCTGTGTGCTTAAACTGACGTCGAAGTTCGATGCAATTTATTGCATTATTGATATTAAATCGCAGAGAGGGTGCTTTAATTTAAAATTAAATACATAAAACGAAGAACTGCCATCAAGCAAGCATTGTTGTCTGCTGCACTCTCCTTGCTGGTGTTGAATTCAAATTTATTTTTCACGCATTTTAAATGTATTTCCAAGCTTAATTGCGATAACGCACCATCTTTTAACAATAAATAAGATAACGAGGGCTCAGAGCAGTGCAATTTCAGCGCCTGAAACAGAATAACAAGCGCGAAAACATTGAAAAATAAGAAGGAAAATGCCTGAATCATCCCTCTTTGGGGGGGAATAACAATTTGTTTATCTTTTAAATGCCACACAAGGCTTGGCTTATTAAATTTGCGGTGCTGTCCTATTTTTCTTTTTCACTTTTTTTGGCTTTTGGGTCCAAGTCCGCGAACTTTGAGCCAAGTAATCAGCTTGCACTTCAGCGGAAAGTGACGAGGGAGAGGGTGGGCTAGCCAAGCCGTTGACAAGTTGGCTAACTTTTAATGCAGCTTACTTAAAAGTTCCTGCCGACTGGAGCGGCAGCCTTGCGTTTACTTTATTAAAAGCACGACGAAATCTTGATGCAATGTCAGCGGCAAAAATTTCCATACGCCATGTTGACTTCCTGTATCTGAAACTACATTCTTAAAGATGTCTCTTTAATTCGCTCTTAAAAGTGCCTTATAATCTATGCATTTTAACTACATTAACGTGCACGTATGCAAAACATCAGCAGAAAAAGCAGATCTGGCTCCGCCTGAAAGCATCAGTATCAGCATCAGCATCACGACAGAAAGGCAGACGGGCAGAAGGAGGAGCAGAGTCGATTGCCTGGCACTTGGACACATGTAATAATTCAATTGTGTGAACATCTATTAAGGAAGATTGATGACAAGCGCCGGGCAATGAGAGCAGCCATCCGTCCAGACTCCTGCTGCATGTCCTGCAGGTCCTGGCTGACCGGACTGTTGAGAAAAAAGCGGATGCACACACTGGCACACAAACAGGGTTTTCACTCATACACACAGGATAAATAAATAAATAAGAGAGCGTTTGTGAGCGAGGGCAGGCAGGTGGAGGAGCATCTATCATACGGGCAGCAACTCAACGCTTCCTTCTCACGACGTCACACGTTTCCAAGGTGTGTGAGGCAGCTCGGATTCCTCGCTCATTCCGCTTTTTATACCCTGTAAATGCGGTCAGCAAGGGTATATTGTAGTCTTTTAAATGAGAGATTTAAACCAAAGACAACTTCTATTAATGGTATTATGCTTTGGATGTACTTTTGAATAAATAAACTCAAAACAGTCGTCAATGTACACAAGGCTAGCTCTTTATTAATTATTTTGCAAAGTGATTATATAGGACCAATTATTATATTGAAATCTTTAAAATTTACAGGAATATTAATTGGACATTCGATGTTAATAAAATTGAACATGTCTCAAATAAACGTTCCAATACAATTTTATTTATAGTCAAGTTTTTGTATGGGAAAATACATAAAAAAGCCTTTACTCATACGCATTAATCATACGAAATACATATAAAGTTTATTATAAGCCTATATGATAATAAACAAGTTTATGTTACAATGTATATTTTTCTTTTAAATTAATACTTATTATTAGTCACATAAAAATATTCCTTTGTAAGGCTGATAAATATGGTATTTCATAGTCGACATTCCATCCGATATGGCAATTTCTTCCTTTTTTTATTGTACACCGCAGTCTCGCATGTCAAATAAACGCTGTCAAATGGAAAATAATTCAAGCTGGGTCAGTCGTGGCAGTCGTTTTTAAAGCGCTAACAGGGGAGCCGTCGAAGCGAGACGAAGCCGAAGCAATATTGACTTACTGCCGGGCATTTTCAACCTTATTAAGTTGACACCGAGGCGGGCAGCCGCTCGATTCTATGGCGCTTTTAAAGTTTGCCGACTCCGCCCTTTATGACAATACGCTTGAGTGCCCGCCGCAGAGGCTTTAAACGAAGGAAAAAAAAAACGAGAGAGTGTGCGATAAGTGGAAACAAGCTGACATTTATGCAGTTTGCCCAGCCAGTCAGCCTGCAGGCAACCGCTGAAGCACAGCAAAGCACAGCATATAGCATACATTTCGGAGCGGAGTGCACATATTTTGTGCTGTTTCAGCTGCGGCTGCTGCTGCTGCGACTCCACGATGCTCCGGTTTCCACCAACCGCCAGCAACAAAGCCAATACAAGGAACTAACGAGCTTATTTCCAGACACCAGCCATCCTCAGTCAAAGTCGCAGAAGCTGCTGCCTGGCGGCTACATCACATGCATGATTGACTGCGCAGTTGTGCAGCGAAACGACTGATAGTCCATATAGAAACCAGGCGACGGGACATCGTGGAGATCGAGTGAGGAAAGGGAGGAACAGGTGGCCGTCGCCGTCGCCGCCGCATCGATTGTCATAAACTCCGGGGCACATGTCCCGAGTTTCGCGCCACTTCATTTGTAAGTTTGATGAGTTGACTCCGGTTCGCCAGCGGATTATAACAATTCAAGTTCGAGATTCTGCTGCTGCAAACTACAGCAGGTAAATGAGCTTAAATCAATTAAAAGACGCTGGCTTAATAATGGCAGCCAGGGCGGATACGCAATGTGGAGGGCATGAGCGTATACGCAATGTGGGTAAAAGGGTACGTATACGTTATATAAAATGGTGTGGAGAAAAGAAGAGCCCATTGAAGAGATAGACCGTCAGCAGATTCTTTTTTTTTTAATAAAAATTGCATTAAAACTGAAGAGTTAGGGGCAAGTAAAAAAAAGCACTCCAGGAAAAATAAACGTTTACCTCAATGGCTTCAACTGCCAGTTAATTAAAAGTTTATTTCTGGCGCCAGGGATGCAGAAAAAGTTTAGCATCATAATAATACCCAATCGACGGACTGTAGAAATTTTGATCCCAGATTAGCAAAAGATAACCCACGTCGGCAAAAAGTAAACAAAAAAATTGAACTCGTAAACACTTAAAGCATGTTGAAGTATCCCTGGCTGCAAGGATACTGAGTGTGCTTATTAAAAAGCACAGTGAACTGAACAAAACAGCACTTTATTAAACTATTATTAATTAAATGCTAGTTCCACTTATCAATTAAAATTGACTACCATGGCAGCGGAGAATGAAGGATAAGAATAAGAGCTAGAGCAAGCGAAGTTAAATTGGATTAAAAGGCGATTCCTTTGTCTCCAGTTCTATACATCCTGTGCGGGAGTGCTTAATCATCGGACTTGGAGTCCCGCATTCGCAGCATCGGAACTGAAAGAGAACAATTAAACAAGCAATTAACAGACGATCAAATTGAGTGAGTTGCCTTGTTGTTTGTCACTTGTCTTTCGGTTTTATGTGGAAAACCAATGCGAAAACACGACGATAGCAAACAGCGAAAACCAATAAAATGAACTTGTCATAAAATTAACGCATTTATAAAGCAAACAATGCGGGAGTAACAACAGCGGTCCCTGCTCCTGACACAGTCATCCACCAACAACAAACGCGTCCTGATGAATATGGGGCATGAAAAGAAAGGAAGTGCGGGAAAAGGGAACGAATGGCGGCATATAAAAACCGCCGCGTGCCGCATGCCCAACTATAGGCATTTATAGGCCATTTTTATTTACACGCTGCGGACGAGTTGCGTGAGAAATAACTGCCAATTCATTTGCACAGTCCCCGGCAAACAGATAAGACAAACACCGCCCTGAGCCGGAGCATCAACAACACACTCCAGATCATCATCGGCGGGATGTTTATGACACAGCCATTCCCATAACCCAGTCACTGTTGATTCGGTGGAGCTCGTTAAATTAAAATTTGCACACGATTTGTCTGGGTTATTTAGATACTCGGAATAGCATTTGATAGATATGCGGTGAAATCATCATAATTGTTTTGAAAATGATTATCAGACAGATTGAGGTTCATTTTGATATCTATTGTTAGTTCCACGTGTTGAAGTTGATTTTTTTTTATAATAGGTATCTATTAAGTTTGGTCAAACTGAAAATTACATTTTCGATATTAAAACGATTTAAACAGTAGTAGTGTATTGTGAATTTTTAAGTATATATTAAATGAGGTATCTCATTAGAGGCTTTATTAAATTCATTTACCATCTACAAATTTTATTTAGTTATCTTACCGTTAATATATATTGATTAGATTTATAATTTTAGAACCTTTGATCGAAAATGCCATATATCAATGATTGCATAAATGTTCTCAGGCGCATCCTAGGATCATTTAACTTCGTTTTTCACAGCATATCCTTTCACCTTGTAAAGAAAGAAAGCCAATACCCGGGCTTTATCGCTGTAGTTATGAGGAAGTCGCGCCGTTGCTGCGGATGTTGTTGTCGCTCCTCGTACATCGTACATTGCACGACAGCTGGCGCACACTTTGCGCCTTTGCCCACAAATTACTGCAGTCAAATTGATCGATTGTCTCGTGCAGGAGCGACAGGGACGTCGAAGGACCCAAAGGATGGGAATAACGTTAAGAGGGGCCAAAAAGAGTGTGGGGGGGGGATACAATTTTATGATATAAGGCAAGAGGCACTGAACT